TTTTTTTTTTTTTCCAAGGATAAATTTCTCATCCCAACCTTCACTCTATTCATTTTAAAAAACTAACACTTAGATGAAGCTAGATATTGAATTCCAAAATAATTTGGAATTATTGCATCATTTATGGAATCAACAACTGATTCCGTTGTTGATTTAGATATCTTGGGTCTGAGATGAGAATGATTTATGGAATCAACCAACTTTTTAAAAGGTGTGAACGATTTAGATATCTTGGGTCCGTTGTCCAAAGCGATGGTGATATAGATGGGGATGTTAATAGTAGAATTCAAGTTGGTTGGTTGAAGTGGAGGAATGCTTCGGGCCTTTTGTGTGATAGAAAAGTGCCGCTTAGACTGAAAGGAAAATTTTATAAGATGGTGGTGAGACCTGCAATGCTCTATGGCGCTGAATGTTGGCCTTTAAAAGAGAAGCATAATAATAAGTTAAGTGTTGCCGAGATGAGAATGATTAGGTGGATGAGTGGCTTTACACTTAGAGACAAAATGCGGAATGAATATATTCGTGATAGGGTTGGTGTAGCTCCTGTGACAGACAAAATTAGAGAAAGTCGTCTTAGATGGTTTGGTCATATTAAACGTCGACCATTAGATGATCCGATTAGGAGAGTAGATGTTTTAAATTCGACTTGTGTTAAGAAAGGCAGAGGTAGACCTAGGAAGACTTGGGCTTATTGTATTAAAAATGATCTTAATTTACTAGAACTAAATGAAAATATGACACTAAATAGGACGCAATGGAGAAAAAGGATTCATGTAGCCGACCCCACGTAGTGGGATTAAGGCTTTGTTGTTGTTGTTGTTGTTGAGGCCTAGCTTGTAATAATAGAACATAAAGAGGATGAACCAATGTATCAATTATCTAGTTTTTCTCTTGGACTACAACCGATTGTTATTGACTTACTTTTTGGAGATTAAATTTAAGAATTAATGCAATAAATCATCATTTAAACTCCATATAATTGTTCAATATTTTTATAATTTCTTCTATGGCTAACATGCAGATTACACAGTAACAAATGCAACCCTGTGGGCGGTTTCAACGCTAATTATAGTACCCCATCTACCGTCGATCGGAGGCCATGGGTATGCTAGCAATGCTAAAGCCATGGGAAGGCCATACCCACAGCAATCTAACGAAAATAAAATTATCGCTAACTATTCACCAAATAGTCCCTGAAAGGCAACATTCATCTTCAAGATCTCAGATCAATGATGAATAGAGGTCTTGAACAGTTTTTAGTTCCCACATTAGTGCGCCTAGAACTTAAAATTATACATGATTCTGAGCGTGAATTCATTGGACTACAGGTGGCTTGGTGCTGGTTCATCCAAGTCAAGGTCACTGGACAAGAAGAAATAAAAAACATGAGACCCCTGAATTGGGAAAGATAGATAGTGGTTGTAAGAGTTTGAAAGCTGTGTGTGAGAGTGCGTGTGTGTGGACAAGAAGAAATAAAAAACATGAAACCCTCTGAATTGGGAAAGATAGATGGTGGTTGTAAGAGTTTGAAAGCTGTGTGTGAGTGTGTGTGTGTGTGTGTGTGAGAGAGAGAGAGAGAGAGAGAGAGAGAGTTTGCTCGATACTGTAGAGAGAAATGAGAGGGTCAACAAGGAAGAGAAGGGAGCAAAGCAAGAAAACAAGTGAGGATTTTAAATGGGGTGATAAGGGAAAGAAAGTTAAGGGTGTGCAAGGCAAGAAAGATATCAAGCAGGAAAGGTAGAAGCTTAGGATAGAAGACCATAGAGGAGGAGAGGCTATCAACGGAGAGCTGAGAGAGAGAGAGAAAGAGCAAAGAAAAGATGAGCTAGAATAGAGATAAATCCCAGAGCGGGCAAAGAAGAAGGATAAAAAGAACAACAATGTGTGAATGGGTGAAGATGCAAAAGAGCAAGTGGCAGGCATCTTCAGAAAGCTGGAGAAGATGAGAAATGGGGAAAGCACCAATATACGAGTGGGAGCGGTAGCTTCATACAAACTTGGAAAAAACCACTAAAGAGGAAGTGTAGTGAGTTTCACACATGTAGGACTGAATGAGTACAGTTAGTCAATTGGCCAAGAAGAGAGAATAGCTGATTGTGTTCAGAATTCCAAGAATAAACCTGGACAAGTATTCTGGTGGAAATCCCTAGAAAATTCAACAAATTTCTGGTTAAGTACTTGGGTTCTATAAGTTTTATTTGATGAATTAATGAAATTTAAATTTGGGAGAGTCGAGGCTTTGACTAACTTCAACTTTGATGAGCATCGAGTTGATTTATTAATTAGTTAAATTGCTAAGCCAAATTTAAATGTTCATGATGATCTAATCAACTTGACCCATAAAAATACACTTTATCTTTTTTTTTGTGCATCTTCTCGGTGTATCTTCTATCTCCCAACATACAAGCTCAAATCACTTGAGTTTATTTATCAACACCTTATCTTCAATAGGCACTATACCTATATCCCAGTAATGTAATTATTTCTCAAACCATCCTTCTATGTTAGATCATAAAGCCATCTTAGATTCCTAATTCTATCACAATTTAACTTGACTGTCAATAAAATATGAACCTCCTAACACTTTTTGCCCCATAAAGTGTAGCTCAACTGATTCCAGATTTATAAATTCATCTTCAAATTTATGAGAAATTCTCTTCTCACATGGATTTTAGAGAAGCAAGATCCAAGGATCTAAAAACTAGTTCCAAGATCCATGTTTTCTCTCCATTAGTCTAGGAATTTGACAGTATTAAACACTTTGAAAACTTTCATAAGAACGATAAACTAACATCAACATGTGTAAAAGGATCAGTTTCCATAAGTTCAAGCTGCCAAAAGAGCTAAGTTTCCAAATGTTTTTGCAAAAAGCAAAAGCAATGCTTATCATACTGAATCTGCAGCAGCTTGTAAGGTCACATGATCTCCCCATTCACCATTTCTGTTTGTTTGGGTAAAGAAAAAGTAAATCAGCACTTATTCATAGAATGAAACTAATGAATACCTTCTATATAACAAAAATGGAACCTACTTCGAGAGCTTCTTCAAGTAGTCATCATAAGCCATTGGAACATATCCTTCATAGATCTCCGGATTAGATTTAAGCTGAGAAAATTTTAAAAGACAGGCGTAATAATGCTAAGAGCAAGCATTGACTTGAATGGAAAATAAAAAACTTTAAAAAATATTGAATGACAAACCTCATTGATTATTTGCTGCCTCACAAACTTGTGGTGCTCAGGAGTACGATAAAACTGATCAGATAGAGCTCGAAACTGGTTGTTGATGCAAATAATGGTTCAATTGCCAAAAGATGGAAAACAGTAAAATCACGAGCACATAAAAATGAGCAAATTATATTCCATTCCAACAAAGCAACTTCACCCTTGGCCTTTTCTGTTTTTGGTTAAGAAACTAACTTGGAAATGAAAATTTTAAAAAGTATGAACATGAGGAGCCAATAAATTGTTGTGTTAGATATCAAAGAACCATTGAATAATCAGGATAAACCAAACCAACGGCCACATTCTTCAACACGTAATGCTAGCTCACCATTTAATAATTCAAATTATCTTCTATCCTCACCATCTACTTCGTAACATTACTCTAATCAGAAAACAATTCTACCCTGTAGTTGCATAGGGTTTTCTGCTACAAATGGCACTTGGCCGCCCTCGCAGTTGCCAAATTCCCATCTGATAACGAGAAAAATTATAGTGTTCTTAAATTTATTTAATTAGCTACCTCCTGTAGACAAATAAAACTAATGTAGTGATATAGGAGTTAACGCAAACGACGATAAGAAAACAAATATTATTAGTGAAGAGCTCATAGACAATTACAACCAACACACAGAGATAGAAAATAGCAATAAACAAAAAACACAAGCTGCAACCAGAGCATACCGACACTGGTGGTGGCGGTTGGTGGAGGTACGGAAAGCAACGCAAGGTGGGGCAGTTGCAGCAAAGAATAATGTGTGGTAATGAAGCAGGAAGGATGTGGAGGACTTTAGAAAGAATTAATATCCCCTAAAGAATGAGATACAACCGAAGCAGCAAGACAATCACCACCTCAAAGCAAGATACAAACGGAGCTCCAATTGCCCTTGGGTACAACCTTAGAAGGGAAAATAAGGGACGTCGATAACTGTCCTGACAAAACACCATCCAAAACTAAAAATATAAAACAAAGAAAACACACATATAAGCCCTAGATAATTAGAATTGGGCCACTCTTTGGAAAAGAGGCGCCAATCCCTCGTAAAAGAGCCAATCGGCTCTCACCCAGGGCTGGACCAGCTCAGTCCAGTCGTTCCAGAAAGCAGAAGATTTTCCGCACTAATGAAATATCGCGTCAGACACTCATTCCCACATTTGTGATTTTTCACATCTAGGCTTCCTAGTCAATCTCCCAAGGTTGGGGGGAGCTCCAAACTCATTTATCAAAACTCTAACTTCTCATGATATGATATTAGTTTAGCCACATTGAAGGTGGCGGAGCTATTGTAACTTTCAGGTAAGTCACTCCTATGAGTGTTGTTATTCCAAAGCACATTCTGATAAAATAAGTATCCATCCTCTTTTGGCACCACCTGAGCTGAAACTACATATAGACGTAGATTTTCCCAATATAACTCTAAAGTCATTAAGTCTGTAATTGGCTTCTTCCACTCCTCGTACTAGACACTACTCATATGATAAACAAATTAGTCTAGAAGAACTACCTCTAAACTAAAATTTGTGGTAGGCTAGATCACAATAAAGTGTAACTACTCATGTTAGGTTTTTTCTTCTTCTCTGAAAGGATCTGGATTCCACTATAGGATGTTCATTCCCCCGAAGATCCTACGGAGATTTCCAACACTATAGTTCATCTAATGATTAGATCTCGGTAGGTACACCACTGAACTAATGTTAATACTCAAATAAATCTATACAGTCTTTTAGAAACAACACAACAGAATTTTATCTTTGACATGTTGTACCTCCTTCAATAGGGGCAACTTAGCAAGTAGACTATATATATGAAAAGTTTGAAATTTTCGTATATGGGGTTTTCATGTGTTTGGTGTCGATTCCTCGGACTGAAGAACATCTTGGACCACCAAAGGTGATTCTATTGAAGTCTCTCTAAATGGCTCAACTTGAACTATATGTTTTTTTTTCCCGCATTAGCTGGAATCTGATATTCTTTGGTGTCCTCGCTTTCTCCCGTATCTACTAAATTATTTCCCCATGTTTTCAACAGCTCCCTGCTCGATGAAATAGACTGCACCATTGTTTGGACAATCTATTGCATTGTGCCCAAAATCATGACACTTCACACATTTTTTGGTTGTGACAGATTTAGGAATGTTGGTTGGCTTCACCTTTTATCCACTTTGAATCGGTTTCTCCTCAATTGGGGGCATGGATGTTCCCCTGAGCGTACTCTTACTACTCGATCCTGGGGTTGGACTCTGCCTTTAAGGTGTGGCAGTCATGAAGTGATGTCCCATTTCTTCAACAGCTCCCTGCTCAGTAAAATAGACCATATCCTTATTTGGGCAAGCTACTGCACTGTGCCTAAAACCGTGGCACTTGATTCACTTTCTTATTGGGACATATTTAAGAATGTTGGTTGGCATCACCTATCCTCTACTCTGAATCAATTTCTTCTCAGGCGGGGGATTAGGTGTTCCCCTACTCTTGCTGCTCGATCCTGAGTTTAAACTTTGTTTGTAAGGTGTGGCGACCATCCAGTAATGTCGCATCTCCACTTTTGAACCTAAGGTTTAAAGATCCAACCGGTAATCAATTGGCAGGTAATGACACAGCATCTCCCATTTCATTTTGGACTAGGTAATGATAATGTTTTTTGCATCATGCAGGCTTAAGTGCTTTAAATATTTTCACCAAAATAGCACACTTTTCTTTAACTTATTGGTGACTAGTTTCATCATTCTGTCCAGGGGGCGCCTTGATACTCAAAGGCACTTTCCATTATCCAGATCCATTCAATGAGCTCGTACGGATCCATGTAGAAATCAAAATATAGCAAATCCACCTATACTTCAAAATCCAATCTCCTCTGATATTTCAAGCCAACTTTTCAGAGTAAGGGGTTCTTCATCCCTAGAATCTGCTTGGTGAAGGGATTTACTGCATTCTTTCGATTTATCAAGCCACTGTTGTGGCTACGGTGACTCTTCTAGATTGCCTCCTCTCAAAGGTGTTAAGCCTCTGCAGCAGTTGTAGGATTTCCCGACGCACATCCTCTATAGAAGGTTCTCGAACATCTCTTCGTGGATTTCTCATAAACGACATTACAGCCTCGTAAACAAATCTCCCAAAAATTGTCACTTTGGTGTCATGATTGAAGTTTCAGTTTGGGTAGGTGAAAGAGGGTGTGGTGTATAGAGATAATGTAGGGTAGGAAAGAAAAACATTGGGTGGCCAGTTTGAAAAATAAACAAAGAGAAGAACTTTTGTGGGGAAGTGGAGTTGGGTATTGATTGATGCCAAAAACCTTAAGATAGAACTAGGGTTGAGCTAACTCTAATATCAAATGATACCAGAGTTAACCGAAACAACAATAAGTAAGCAAATATTCTTACTGAAAAACCGATAGACAATTACAAACAACACACAAAAATAGAAAATGGAAACAGACAAAACAAAAACTGCGATTATAGTGTATCGACGATGGCAGTGGTGATTGTTGGAGGTCTGAAAAGGTGACAACAAGGTGAGGCAACTCTAGTGAGGAGGAATGCGTGGTAGCAAAGCAAGAGAGAAGCAGAGTAGTACGGGAAGGGTAAATATCCCCTTGGGAACGAGATACAGTCAGAGCACTGCTTAATCCTTGGAAGACAATCACCGCCTCGAAACAAGATACAGTCGAAACATCACTTGGTTTCTGGAAGACAATCACCATCTCGGAACGAGATATAATCGCCCTTGGATACAGCCCAAGAAAGGAAAACAGGGGACACTGGGGCCATCCTGACATAAATACAATCCAAAACTGAGAATCTAAAACAAAGAAAACACATATATATAGGCCCCGCGCAGCTAGGATTGGGTCACAATGTTGAAAGAAGGCACCGATACCTTGTGGAAGAGCCAGTCGGCTCTCCCAAGGCTGGAGTGGCCCGATCCAGTCATTCTGGAATGCAGGAGATCTCCCGCGCTTGTGAAATCCTGTGTCCTACCCTCGCTCCCACAATCATGACTTCTCGCACCCATGCTACCACATTTTGTACTTTAGTTCTCAGGATACTTCAAATGAACTAACAGCTTGTACTTTCTGTTGAAACCCATATATGGTGTATAATGCCACCAATGCCAAGTAGCAACATATTTACAATAGAAGACAGATCATCATTAGCCTGGTTCCAACTACTTAGGTGTCAGCTTTTCTGAAAAAAAGGGCTGCAGTTATAAAACTTAATTCAGACTACATCAACATTCACTTGCTTCAAAGATTTTAATAGTGAGATGCCTGCTTGACTAAAACGAAGTGTGACCAAATTAACACTAGTTCTAGAACGAGGAGAGCAAAATGCTCTTTACCCAAGAGCATTTTCATCACAAAAAATCTATGAATCCATTATGGCAAGATTTGCTAGCTATCACAAAAGGAACTAGCACCTCTTCTGAAAATGTAAGAACTTTTTTTGCACAAAATGGAAAGCCAAGAAACTAATTGCACAGGGTTCAAATAAAATACAATCTTACTCAATAAATTTTAAAAATAGCCACAATATTATATCTATTTTAAATGATAAAGTGATATTTTTATCATCCCTATAAGGGGGGCAGGTTTGTGAAGAGTGAAAATACATTACGTTGTTATTTAACCAACAACGAGTTGTTCAAAAATACAAACAAAAATTAAACCTTGGTTGGAGAAACCTGTGCATTGGAACCATAAACAACCAACCAGGTAAATGAATGATCATTCTCGTAATTCATTTTGTTTATTATTAACAAAATGACCCCAAATTTGTTCCTTAATGCTTCTTCATCTTGTAAAGGATTAACCAACTTTCCAAACATGAATAACCATGACAACTTACCTGACAATTTCCATCTCCTTGAACCTTAAGTTCAACCAAGTCATACAACTGCAACCTGTATGAACATGATAATTAGAAAAGAAATAACAAATACTTTTTAAAAGCAAAGCCAAAGTTTAGAACAAAATCCATCGACGGGATACAACATCAAAGAAATAGCGCTATTAAGCAAACACATGTTAGCAAGGACTTGTGGTACACATTAATACAACATAATTAAAAGTAATCAAAAACATGAAAAGGGAAAGCTACCGAAGAACTAAACCAATGAAATGACACACACATGAATATTGCAAATTTCAAACAGATAATTGTGACCAGTCACTTATTTTTGTAGGTGTTTTCAGAATAGCTCTTAGTCATTTACACATTTTGCAATCAGTTTTGAGGCTGGTTACAAAACCCTAATAAAAAATCTTAACTATGCCTTGGATCAATCCCATTTCACCTATGTGCTAGATCGCTCTTAGCCAAGCTTGCACTCGCTCATTCTCCCACTGTGCTTTGGCGCAAGCTTGCGCGTGGCTCTAGTTGCATGCGCTATTCCAACACATTTGCTTTGTTCCAATCCAAGCGTGCATGGTTCCTGTTGGGATTTATATCTTGTTTAATTTTCTATTTGTAAATAGGAAATTCAGAAGAAATCTAGGGGGCAAGACCAAATCGTTAATGAATAGAACAAGTTTTTAGAGCAATTATTTTTTTTTGGTATCAGAGCTAAACCTCGATCCTAGCCGTCGCTATAGTGCTGCAACGGTACAACTATAGTACTGTTGCTCCTGTATTTCGGCCGGCTGCTCGCCGCATCAAGAAGAACGCGATAGGAAGCTTTTGTTTCAATCGCGAGGTGCAAGGAGGATTCAGTGAAAGGAAGGTCAAGATTCTGTGACGCCTCAAGCGGCATCCAGAGACCGGGACAGAGGGAGACGAGAGGGGGCGAGTGGAGACCAAGGAGGCAAATAGATAGGGCCGATTGTAAATGTGACTATAAGCACGCACACAAGTGCCAAGTCAATGTAAGGTGAAGTCGAATTGGAAGCATGCCGAGTATAGGTTGAGCTGAGCGGGAGCAAAACCGGACATGGTAGGCTTGATCGCTTGCGGGCCAGGTTGATGCCCATGGTTTCGCCAAGCTGAGTTAGTACTTACTAGAGAACCTATAATGCACAACCTACAAGGGAGACGAGAGAAGCATATCAAGATCAGATCAAGAAGAGGAAGGAAGCCCACGTATAATTTATGTGATCTAGATTTGGATCTTTGTGATTGAGAATATTAGGAGATAGAGATGGCACAGAAGGCAAGGAATTGGAGCTTTTAGGAAAAATAGAACTGAAGTTCTAAAGGTCTCTTGGTCGGACTCATATAAGGAGACAACATCTCGACGGGAGCCACTACCTCACTACCTCTAACATAAGTAGAGCTAGATCTCCCTTCTATGGATTTGAAGCTTGACAGACCAACCTTGAGTTGGTCGCCTCAAATTGAGGCTACACTAGCAAAGAAGATACTAGAGGGATATTTGACAGAATCAAGCCAAAGAGCAATAGTGTTGAGGCGAACGAGTGGAGGACCACACACGCTTTGATTTACACCTGGCTACTCAATTCAATAGTTTCATTGATTGCCTCATCAATAGAAAACATTCGAAAGGTGCGTAACATCTTGGTGAAGCTGAAGAAGATCTATGCTGGAGCTGAGAACCACATGAGAGTGTTCTAGATTCAGCGTCAGATAGAGGCAATAGTATCTGATGATTGATCAATTCAAGAGTACTCCATATATCTAAAGTTGTTGTGGGCAGATCATGATCAATTCTCACCGATGTCAAGCTGTAGTGATCCGGGGTGTAAGAAGGGGGAGATCCTTGCACGGATGAGGACTATGTAATTTTTGGCTCATCTGAACCTGAATTTTTTTATCAGAGGAGATCAGTCCTAGCCCAGGCGACGATCTCTTCGTTGGATGAGGCCATCGCTGCGATGATACAAGAGTGTCACATGAGGCTACACTTAGAGCCCGAGTGTACTTCCAGGTTGGTGATCAACTTTGGCTTCCTTGAGCTTAGGCATGACAGGTGCCAAGGGGAGACTCACAAATGCTACAACTACGGTGGAGTAGGACATCTGAGCAGAGTCTGTCCTAGGCCACCTAAGAAGAGAGAGACGTGGACGTGGATAGTTTGGAGACCGTGCTCGTGGCTGTGGTGGTCGAAGAGGTGGAAGGTGTTATTGGATAAATCTGATAGTAACAGAGGACGAGAGAGAGACAGGTGTGGTCTTACAATTAGGATCATTAATTTCTAAAGATGTCGAGAGGAAGCATAAAGCAACGAGTGGTGCGGCCAAGAATGCATCCATCTCGTCATCATCAAGTGGTAGCATTGCTACTAATGTTCACTCAGATAAAGATATTCGTGATACACATGCTCATGCCACTATTTTCACCAAAAGATCACCAGAATGAATAATAGATTGTGGTCCATCTCGACATGTGATAGGTACTATTAGAGAATTCCTTCATATATTACTTAGCAGTTCCAGAGAACATTCAGACTGTTGATGATACAACACAACATGTAGTGGGTAAGGGTACAGTAAGGTGTACTGATTCTATGACTATGTCTAATATTTTTTATGCTCATTCCTTTTGGGTAAATATTTTATCATTAGTTTCATTATTCTTTAACTAAAATGTGTTGTCAAGAGAAAAGGACGGGCCAAATCTTAGAATTGGAACGTGGCACGATGGACTTTGGTATTTGCATAAAGTGAGGATGGACTCAGCCTTGAAATCCATGGTCGAGAGTGTTGAAGGGGATCTAGAAGTGTGGAGGATGTGTTGTTAAGTATATCAACAAAATATTTGGGGAATACTTATCAGCCCAAGGAATCCAACATCAAACCATATGTCCATACACACCATCATAAAATGGAGTTGCAAAGAGGAATAATTGACAACTTTTATAGGTAGTACAAAGCATGATGATTGTGATGATGTCCAAAACACTTGTGGGGGCAACAGTTTTGACGGCTGCTCAATTGATCGACAAAATGTCGTCGAGGGTATTGGATGAGAGTTTCCTTGTTAGATGTTGAAAGTAGATAATAGCAGTATATTCCCATTGAAGATATTTGGCTATGTATGTTTTGTGAAGGAAAATAGATCATCAGCATGGAAGTTGGGTCCCAGAGCTGTAAAGTGCATTATTGTGAGTTATTCTGCTACCCAGAAACTCTCGCTGACCTCCATAAGGGGTCTCTCCTCTCGGCATTATTTGATATTGGATACCAAAACGGTGTGATCGATATTCCTCGTCACTGTGATCTTCCCTATGGAACGGATTTATCTCCTCGTCCATGTCTTCTCTTCGACTCTCCTGATCACTGTCAAAGTTGACCTCTTCTTGTTTCCCGTCATTCAGCTCTACTAGTTTTTCATTGCAGACAATGGATTTCTCGGGTCAAGTTCAATGCATTTTTCTGCGGTGACATGGCTAGGCTTGAGAATCAGAAAGGAAAAAAAATGATGAAGGTAGCTTGAGTGGGCGCAGATGCTAGAAAACTCTACAATGAGAATAGAGTTGGACTAGCTCTGATACCAAATGATATCGGAACTAGTAGGAGGAACAGTGGATCACAAAAACAAACTTTTATTAATATATAAATAGGGTTACAACACGACTCAAATAGAAAGAAAATACAATAAGAGATGATATGGTAGCGTCCGCGAGGTGGTAGGG